ATGCTCTGAAAACTATTTCATATCTTTATTCAGTTCTTTTACTTGGGATGGTAAATCTGGTAAATGTTCCAAAGTCTTGGTCAGAAGGCCCTGGCCTATTGCAATGCCTCTTAATTGATCTCCCTTACTTTTATTGGTCCACTAAACGTTAAATTTAATTGTTAATGTGTATTATGATTTATTTCCAAAAAGTTTTATTTAATTATTTTTCTAATTTGCTTGATTACTTTTATAGTCTCTTGCACTTGACCCTTACTTTCAAGCTTTTTATTTAAAAAAAAAATACATCTTACGTTTTGTATCTGTCAGTGACGACGTATGAAGTCTTGGTGCACCTGTTTTATATATTAGCTCTCACTTATGGTAACTTATTTCCTTGTGTTAAAATTCTTGACTGTGAGTTGGTATTTCTGAAACTTTGAGACTTGGGTTGAAGATGGATTCCTCCAGTAAATATTTGTTTTGCTTCTGCTGGGTGCCTGTTTGTTTGTTGTTATGTTCCCTGGGCAGGTGGTGGGAGTAGGGATTATTTATTTCTAATTCACACACATGTTGAGAGTATGCCTTTCAGAGGTCTCAGCTTTCTGCAGGAAAGAAGTTGGGTCTTTCACTTGCCTCTCACTGAAGAACATTCTGGCCTTTAAGTCCTGTACCCTGAACTGCATCAAAGGATGAAAATGGAAGGTCAGCCTCACCTGGTTTGGCAGAGGCCTTAAAGTAAAAGCAATTGGCCGGGCGCGGTGGCTCAAGCCTGTAATCCCAGCACTTTGGATGGCCGAGGCGGGTGGATCACGAGGTCGAGAGATCGAGACCATCCTGGTCAACATGGTGAAACCCCATCTCTACTAAAAATGCAAAAAATTAGCTGGGCATGGTGGCACGTGCCTGTAATCCCAGCTACTTAGGAGGCTGAGGCAGGAGAATTGCCTGAACCCAGGAGGCGGAGGTTGCGGTGAGCCGAGATCACGCCATTGCACTCCAGCCTGGGTAACAAGAGCGAAACTCCGTCTCAAAAAAAAAAAAAAAAAAGTAAAAGCAATCTTCCTTTTCCAGAGTATAGCTCTCACTTGGTTTTTGCTTTTCTTATTTTTAATCAGAACATAAATAAATTTAAATATAAATTTTAATTTTTTGTTACATTTTATGCTGCATTTTTAATTGTTTTCAGTATAAGGATAAGTTTGGTGGTAATCAGTCAGGGTATTGAGTCCATTGTGCTGTTGGAAATGGAGTTCTTATTTTTTAACCTTGATAATGATTCTTTTTTCATTAAGAATTTACATACTTTGATGTAGTCAAATGGGGCTGCCTTTTCCTTTATTGTTACTACATTTTGGTACATCTAAGAAATCTCTCTTTACTCTCAATTTCCTACTTTCACAAACAAGCAGATATATTCTCTTATGTTTTCTTCTTATATGAATTCATATATTCATATAGAAGGATTTATTTTTATTTTTGTTTATAAAGACAACTATGGACCATGGGTTAAATATGGTTTTTAACTTATTTTAACCTCTAACTAGGCATTATTTATACATACATGCATATATTTGATTGACAGGGTCTCACTATGTGCCCAGGCTGCAGGGCAGTGACTATTCAGGGGTGTGATCATAGCCCACTATAGCCTCACACTTATGGCCTCAGTGGTCTTCCTGCCTCAGCTTCTGGAGTAGCTGGGAGTACAGGCATGCACTACTATGCCTGGCTTGGTTTTTATATATTTAAAAGCTTATCCATATAAAAACAGAAGAAGAATGTGTGGCACAGATCGTCTGTGGCATACAAAGTCTAAAATATTTATTAGCTGGACCTTTGCATAAAAATCAAGCAGACCCTTGCATTAATCCACTTTTGCTCACTTACATGTTAAATTTTAGCTTCCCGTTTATAGTTGATGTTTTTTTCGGGGACTTTCATTCTACTTTCATTCATCTCTTTGTTTTTCGCCAACTACAAATACCACGCTGTAATGAAAATGGCTGTTTTCATTAATAAAACTATATGAGTTAAAGGAGAGGGATTAGAAAATGCAGGATCCGCTTTCAGAGCGGAAATGGAAAAACACAGAAAATTCACACCCAGAAGCCTAATTGCCCTGACATTAACTAGAGGCATAGAGATCTGGAACGCTCACAAAATACCTCTCTGCCTTGCCCAAAGCCAGTGTGGGACCATGGAATTGGATTTTACTGATTCATTTGTAACTGTGTACCGTGCTGTGTGAAGCATGAAACACTCAGACTTGTTCTAGGAAGCTTCCAACAAATGGAACAATGAATTGTGAAGCCCCTAGTGAATGGAAACGAGCAAGGAGGAGATTGTAGCTTGAATGGGAGAAGGGCACTCTGTAAAACCCTAAAATATACATTAGTCATTGAAGGGTAGAGCGGAGAAGAAAAAAATCCTGGGCTCTTGAGAATGCAGTTCTGTTAGTAGATAGTGCTTTTCCTTATGGAGCGGATGTTTATCTGTCCAAGCCACGTGTCTATTCACTTTAGTCATCACACAACTTACCTATTCAGTGAGATAGCACTCTTAGTAATGAGAACACAATCTCTTCACTGAGGTAAAGACAAAGACCTACAGATGTGGCCCTGAGTCCACGTGGCCTCTGCTGCACGTGGCCCCCACCACACGTGGCTGAGACTCTGTCACGTTGGCCACAGCCTCGGAGCTTTAACAGCGGTCCCAAGTTCTGCTTAGCAGGATACAGAGGCTTCGCCATCCACACCTCCACTGCACTTCTCTTTGCTTTGTTTTTCCCTGTGGGGTCAAAAGAGGAAAGTGAGGGAAATAGCACATCAGATCTCATAGTTTCACTCCAGAAGGAATGTGTGCAGAGTGGGCTGTGTATACCTGCAAGACCCAGTCCGTGGGTCTACTGTCCCTCCCTGAGAGAGCCTGATGAGCGTGGCAGTGGGGTAAGGAGCATGTGACTCTCACAGCCTGGCAAAAGCACCCTGGATAGGGTGCCAAGAGCACCAGCCACACCTTCAGGGGCCTTGCCTACTTGGCAATGGAGATGAGCTTGCAAAACCTTCCTAAGCCAGGTTGTGGCTTCTCCAGGAAGGGGTGTACATAGAACATTCTGGGAGAACCAGGAGAGAGAAGACATACCCTGCCTGTGACAAAAACTCAACAGTGCTTTGAAGACATTGCCAAGGTCTGCTTGGGCCCTTCTCGAAGGCAAAGGTTGGAATTCCACCTTGATGAAGTGTGAATTCAGAGGCTGGGCTTCTCCTAGCTCTCTCCTCGTTATTTTGCTTGAGTAGAAAGACCCCTGCTTGCTCCTTTTCTAAAAGTAAAACGTCCCTGCAGTTCAAACTGTGCTGTTCTTAACACCTGCAAGTGCGTGGCAGCCAGCCCTTGACTCTCGGGCAAAGGTGACCCGGCAGCAGGTGGAAGAAAAATTCTCTCCCCCTGCCACCCCTCCCTTCCTCCCTTTGTCCCTGCACTTTGAAATCTCTCTCCTCCCAGGCCCCACAGGGGTCCTAACTGGTTCAGGGGTTTGTGATTATCGAAACAGCAGCCTGTCGCTCCCCACCCTGGCTCAGATAGCTCTTTCAGAACCTGTGGTCTTGACAACTGCTGCAAAGAACAAACCAGCATCCCCCCCTCCTTCTCCCCCCACTGCCGGGGAATGACAGCTCCTGCCCCAGGCAGGGGAGACTATCCTGCCCAGATGAGGGGAGCGTCTCCCAAACACAGAGGCCAGAAAAGATGAACAAAATGTCACTTTCTCATTGTTGCTGCCAGGAAAAGCCAGCGCCCAAGAGGATACTGCATTCTGCAGATCTTATTTAAAATTCTGTGAGCAGCCCTGGTGATCAGGGGACTGCGGCTGGATCTTGGCAGCGGCTCAGACAAATGGGAAAGGAAGATAGCCAGTTCTGAGGAGCACTGTAGAGTAGAAATATTGTAAACTGAGGCTTGTAAAGGGAAGGGATTACTTGTGGCTTGACCAGGCAGTTAGAAGCAGTGCAAAGATCTTGTAAAAGAGCTGAAGGCATGTTGCAGGCCTGGCTCTTCACCTCCTTCTCTTGCCTGTATAATGGGGACACCAGACTAGCTTGATGGTCTGTGGTTGCACATTCCTGTCAGTAAAATAATTTACAGCCTGCACTCTATTAAATGTCAATTTGTTCATTTAGAAATTAGCCATATATTTTACTCTATGAATGTATTATATACATTATAAAGGACATGAAACAATAGAAATAAAAAAGACTAGATGAAGATGAATGTAAATAGATGCTCTAGTATTTTTCTGTCTCTATCCTCATCATGCCTTCCCTCCAAGATGTGAATACTTTGCTTTGAAGACAAACAAATCAGATGATCTGGTCGGGCTCCTTCAGATGGAAGGTCTATGAAGAATGCTGTCCAATATGGTGGTCACTAGCCACATGTGGCTATTTAAATTCATTAAAATGAAATAAAATTTTAAAACTCAGTTTCTCAGACACACTAAGTACATTTCAAATGCACAATAGCTACGTGGGGTTAATGGCTACTGTATTTGTCAACGCAGATTACAGAACATTTCCATCATTGAAGAATGATCTGTTGGATAGGGTAGCCCTAGATTCTCACTCTGCTGGCCTAAGCTGTGAAAATGATGGGGCTCTGCAGCTGGAGCAAATCCCCATGACAGAGCTGACTTGTGACACAAGTCAAGACCACGAAGCTTAAGATCTCATTGCAGCAACTATCCTTGACTAAGTACTTGCTATGACAAAGCATCCTGGGAAGCATTTTGTGACCACCTCATTTAGTTCCTACAACGACTAAATAATACACCTCTGAAGCTAGGCACATTGTCCTAGGGAGGTGGGGGATGAGGGATGGAGGGATCGGGAGTTGCTCAGAGCTGACCAGCTAGTTTAGATGTTGAGCCGCGTGTTCTCCTAGGCACCCCACAGGGATTTTTCAGATTTTTTCCAGGCCTATGCTCTCTGAGGTGGTTACTGCAAGTATGCTTCTCTCTTCTACAGGTACAAAGGGAATTTCTTGCAGAGCTGTGTTCAGCTGAGAGCCAGTAGACTTCGCAAAGCAACCTGTGTGCGAAAAAGAAGCCACCCCGCTCCCCCACTCGAGGGACTGAAACCATGCAGGACCCTTGGGCAGGCTTCTTCAGAAACAGCAGGTAATGTTCTCTTTGGAGGTGAATCCAGACTGGGCACTTGAAGGCACCTGCTTGAGGCACAGACGCTAGGATTGTGGGCTGGGCAGAAGCCAGCCCCACATGCCACAGGGGTCAGGCACAAAAGGGAGCGTAACAGAGGCATGGTGTCCATGAGACAATCAAAGTGACCCTAAAATAGTGGGAAGGGCATGTGGTGGAAGACGGATCATTCAATATTGAGAAGTAACCTGCATCCTTGAGTACTGGCCATGTGTACCAAGCTCTGAACCAGGTGCAGGTTCCTTCTGGGACCCAAGAGAAAATGAGTCACAGCTCTTAGTGCCTCCACTTTCACCGAAAGAAAGCTCACTCGGTTCTGTCTGCAGGGCTATTATAAAAGCTAAAGTGGGTCTGTGGATAGGCTTGAGAGCCCATGTGAAGTACAAAGACAAGTAGTTACGTGAAGCTGCAGGGTGCATTGCTTACATGTGACGCAGTCAGAGACACACTCTTCACCATGCTCAGAAATAAATAAACGGGGAACTGAGAGGGGCTGCTTCCTGGAAAAATGGCTATTTTCAGCTGCAATCACTGGGCAACAGGGCAAACGGCACAACTTCTCTGGACCTCAATTTCCTCTCCGTTTCTCCCCTCTCCCCAGCAGTAATGAGCACAGCCTTAGCCTTGCCTGCCAAGTGTTGATTGGGAAAAATGAAGACCCTGTGGGAAAGGCTTCCGGGTTCCATCTGGCCAGCAGCACCTGAATTACCATCCTTCTGTGGCTCATTGTTTTCTGTTTGGCTCAAGGGCTAACCCTGGGCTCTGTCTGAGCCTGAGGTCTTTGGCCCTGGGGCCTCCTGTGCTGGGGCAGCTCTGCTGCCACCTTTGTGTAGCTCCAGTGCCCCCTACAGGCAGATGGCGCTTGCATGCTCTCCCCACACCCCTGCTCCCCAACCCCCAAAGCCCTGCAGGATAGGCAAGGACAAGGACTAGTCTTGTTCCCCAGAGAGAATTTAAATCCAGGCAGGAATTTATCTTACAGTTGGGTGGCCAGTTGCTGAAGAAAGGTGGTTTTTTGTTAAGGAATGTCAAGGGTCAAGCCCCATGTGGGAGATACTGGGATGCAGGGGGGTGGGTAGGTGGAAATTCCATCAGGGAACTTTCTTCCTCATCTGCGGCTCTCATCTTCACCTCCATCTCCCTCCTCTGTATCCAGCAAAATTGCCTTAGGCTGTGCTTGATACCACTGCCATCCATGGAGGGCACAAGAATGCACATCGTCTGGGCTCTCATTGTTTGTTAAATCATTTTTGCAGGATAAACCTAATATAATTAAAGCAGATTCACCCCAGCCACTGCCAGCAGGACACGCTCCACACTTGGGGGAACAGTTGTCCAAGTTACCATGGGTAGCCTCGATGCTGATAGCTATGGGGTCCACTGATTTCCCTTCAGGAAGAAGGCCCAGTGGCCAGCTGGGTGGGGCTGGATGGGGCTGCCATGTTTGTAGACAGTGTTTGTTGGAACTGAAATCCGGTTGCGGTCTGGCTTGTCCAGCTCACATGCTGGCTCTGAGCAGGGGGCTGTGTCACCTGCAGCAGGGACACCTGCTCCTCTTTCTTCCTCCACAGGGGACCATGGAAGTGGGTGCCCCTGCCTCATCGGCACCTCTTCTGTCCTCCTCCACAGGGATACATTTCCCTATGTCCTCCCCATAGACTAATGGAGGAGTCCCAGAGACCCTGGGCTCCCTCCATGTGCGGGAAATCCCACTTCCATACACATCCTGTTTCAACATCAGTATTTCATTGCTTTCTTCACACCTAAATGAGCAAACTGGGGGTACCAGTGAATGGTGAATAAAACCAAATCCAAGCAGAAAAAAAAAATCAGAAACAAAACCTGAATATAGATCTAAGTAACAAGTGGCTTTCCGTACTCAGATGCCTGCTGGGAACACAGCTCCGCCACCCCATCCCTTTGCATAGGTAGCAAGGCCCCAGCAACAGCCTGGAATGGTGACAAACGTCTGTGCTTTCATGTTTGTTATTTGAGCAGCAAGTTGAACCAGGGGCTTAGGTCCCTGGTGCCCATTTTCAAAGGCCCTCCTCTCCAGCAGTTATGAGGGATGTGGAGGATGTCCACTGCAGGGCAGCTGTGAGCTGCAGGACGTGGTAGAAGCCCTAGCCCAGGGAATATCAATCACCACCTGTTCCTTATTGAAGTGTCAGAGAGGGAACTGGGAAGGCTGGTAGGGCAAACCAGCAAGCTGGGGTTGACAGGTCATGATGGACACCATGGAGTCGGAGGGTGGAAGAATGCTTTAAAATAAATAGCACTGGAAATCAAAGGGGCATAGGGGTCTTATTACCAGCACTTGCCAATTCTAATATTTCACAGTGGAGTGACAGGCACTCTGAGGGCACTGGGTGTTTGAAGACAAAGCACTGTCACTTCAAAGGAACACAGAGCTGAGCCTGGCCATCTACCAGTTATAAACAACTTGCTCGAGTCTCCTTTGACCTGGCAGGTCCTGGATGGAGAGATCAGAGCTGGGTCCTCGGTGAAGGAGCTGATCCTGCCTGTGCATACATGCGCATGGATGTGCTTTTGAGTGTGCCTGTGTTTTTTTCTTTCTGAGGAGAGAGGACCTGTTTTCCATGGTGCGATAGTGATGGGGTAGTCTGTTTTGGGTGACCCAAGGGGCTGTAAGTTGGGGAAACTTGGTAGAATCCACAAAGAAATTGAGAGGGACCTTTGTGTAGATAGGGGTGGGTGGGATTTTTCAATTCAAAGGTAGAGAAACACCTTAGATCCTAAACTTTATAGGCCAACTAGAATAGGTAAAACATTCAGAAATATGAAGTCAAGAATACTTGTGTCCAGGGACTGAAATATGATGTGACAGCTGAGTTTCTTGTCTTCTTTATTTTTTGGAGACACTTCCTGTCAATAATTTCGGAGGATGAAGGAAAAAGGATTTTTAAAAAATATATTTTTTAAAAAAGATGTTTAATTTCCCTCTCTCCTAAACTATTCCAAAAGCTTGATACTAATCATTTGAATTAACAGATGGCTTGGCAGTGAAGTCATCTGCAAACAGAAGGCCAGAGGAGTTATGAAGGATAAAGACCTAATTTATAAGATTGTACATTGATTGGAGTCTGTGAGACTCCCCTGACAACTGAGGCTTTTTTCCTGAATCCGAAATCCAGTAGTCCATCTCATCCAAGTTTCCATCTAGTAGGTGCAGGAAACTTGAAATTTCTTTTTAGATATTAACTAAGGTATATTTCCCAGACAACCCAACCAAATGTGACTAAGAACGGACAGAAGTGCCGCTGTTTTAAAGAAAACCCTTCCTCTTCACAGTCGCCTCAGGATTAGGGCTGAAGGGTGCATTTGATCTCATAGACTAGGGCTGTCTCATTGAAGGGGCTGGCCAAAAGGAAGTTCTTAGATATCACGTCATTGACTGTCCCAGGGAAAACAGGCATCTACCTTATAATCCAGATGTTCCTTATGGAACATTCCAGTCATAAGGTTCGCTGGTTAGCTGGGAACATGAAAACCTTCCCTAATAGACTGACTGCTGGTAAATTTAGACCCCATTCAATTCTCTCTCTCTCTCTGCCTACCATCGTATCCATCCATGCCCTTCAGATTCATTTTTGCAATATCATGTAAATTGATTGCTAAATGAAATTGCAAATTGTGCTCAAGCTGCTGCGTTTTGTGGAGTTGGTAGAAATGACCGTTGGAAGCCTGCTGATTCACACCCATTGGCAGAATCAGACTAGGTGACAAATGAACAAGAGGAAAGTGACAAAGATGATAACTCCAAGAGAGTGACTTGACTATCAGAGGCTTAAGGGGAGTCTTTGGAAAAATTGATAAAGCTCTGTAATATTTTCTTGGGGTGGGAGGAATTCTTCTTGATGATCTTGCAATTAAAGTAAATGCAAGGTAAATAGTCCATTGGTCTACCCTACAATTTTATGTCAAAATGTATATCCTCATCAATACTTGACTAAGTTTTGTTGATTTTAACAATTAGCTCATAGTTTGCCATTATAACCTCCAAAATGGAGGTTTATTTTTATTTTATCTTAGTAGGCTTATTAGCTTATTTTCACAACTTTTGGTTTTGTCATTTTTTTCCAGATAAATTCTCAAAGTCCTTAATACTATTTACTGTGAAATTGTGGTATTGTGAATGAATTGGGAATGAATTCATTTTAGGTGGCCTAATAAAAACAAGGTCTTTATTAGCACTGATCTCAACTAATAAAGACTTTGTTTAGCAAGCTGGTAGGTCGTCTTCTGCACGTTTGCATCCGGGGGCGTAGCATTGTAGCAGGTCCTCAATAAGTGTTTGTTGAATGAAAAATTTAGCAAACCTACGTTTCTTTACCTTGACGTTCCTGAAGCTTAGTCTCAGATGAAAGCACAATCAAAGACCAGCCCCCAAATCTTCTTTGAGCATGAACAAGAAAGAGCATGCCACCTGGAGTCTTGGTTTCTGATTGTACATTGTGTCAATAACGGAAAGGTCCAGTGGTATCCAGTGGGATGGCAGTGGAATAACCGCAAAATTCACCTCAATGGAATCGCCATTTTCAACCTTTGGAGTCATCTTCTGTCACTTTGGTTTTCTGGATGGAAGCTCTGGGGAGGTAAAAGTAGTGACTGTGAACCTGCGAATGTCCTTTCCATGCCTTTTAAACTGACATCCTGTCCCACACTGGAGTGGGGCCATGTTGTATAGGGTGGTGAGGTTTGTTTCCAAAGCTGGCCCCCAAAGCATAATCCCTATAGTCAAAATTATCCTTGAAACCTGCAAGTCTGTCGTAAGGGTATGATTTGTGTATACAACTCTGAACAGAAATTCTCGTGCAATTTCTGTTGGAGGACTGCTGAGATAAAAGGAGGAAAGAAAAAGGCCATCCATCCATGCAGGCTGCTTTGAAGATAAACAGCAAATCCTCCCACTGAATAGGGGTGTGAGAAGTTCTCAAGTG